TGGACCTTTTAACTCTGTTTCCTCCTCTTTTAGGCTAAGATCTTTGATGGGAAGAGTCGAACCATTTGTTTCACGTCCTTGCATAAGCTTTTCGACCTTCTCTTCAACTTTAACAAGAGCATAGACTACTTTGTCCACGGTTGAGTCTATTTCCTCTGCTTTGTTTTGAACCTTGTGTACTCCATCCCAAATCTCTTCCACGCAGGAGTAGGTTTGGTTGTTATGGTCGTTAATAGTTTCTTCTGCTTCATCAAGCTTGACCTCTAAGGTGTGGATGTTTCCACTAGCCTTGCGAATGCTCACTTTATTTTCTCCAACTCGTCCTTCGACTGCTTCTATCCTCTCCTTGATAGTCTCAGCATCCTTGTTTGCTTGAGTTTTGATGGTTTTGACTTGAGCAGAAAGATCCTCAAGCTTTTTGTTAAAGTGAATTGACAAGTTGTCAATTTTCTCGCGAAGGGCGTCTCTAGATGTTGCTTGAGCGTCGATTAAGTGCACGACCACCACCTCTAGTTGACTCAATCGGTTAATGAGTTGGACGTTTTCATCTTGGTGAGGCAAACGACGAGCAGGATGTCTAGGGTTAGCCATTGGAGGAACGTAGGGCTCGTTCTGGAACGTTCTGTAGTCTTCGGTTCGAATTTCTTTGTAGAGATCGCGTAGATACTGCTTCTCTCTGCGTCTGGTGGCTTGAGGAGTGTTATAGAAACCTTCCTCATAGTGTGTATTTCTATTTATGGGATCCATATCTTCTGAAATGGAAACAAAATAACCGAAAAATGGAAATATGCAGAAAAATGGGTTCTAGAGTCGATTTACCAACCTTTCTTGGGGTTTTGCGGAAAAGAAACGCGTGCCTTCCCCGGCAACGGCGCCAAAAACTTGATTGTGGTGTCGGTGTGTGTCGAGGGTTGTCAAGTTTTACCCTAAATGAAATCAATAGCCGCAAGTGCACAGTTGATCGATTGTAGTACTTAGGGATCGAATCAACAGGGAAGGAGGATCTTTTCCTGCAAAAGCCTTTGAAAGAAATATAAAGTAAGGAAGTCTAGAACCAAACGGTTTTTGTGGGGGTTTTGGTGGTTTGTTTAAAATGTAAAAACGAAATCTAAAAAGAAACTACGGGAATTAAAATGACATAATAACTAAACTTAACGAAAATGAGTATAAACGAGAAAAAACGGATATTCTAATTGCTTAAATGAAAATCGACTAAAAAGGAATGAGAATATTGAACTAAAGCTTGAAATAAAAACGATGTAAATATATAGGAAAGAAGGCGTTGGGCTTCAGGGAAGTTTTCTTAGGGGTACGAACGATTCAAAACATTGCTAGAGAGTAAAATTGGTAAGATCTTAGCTTAAACTTTTCGAACTGGAGTCATGGACGTATGAATACGCCACTGTCGTGATCATAGACAACTATCTCTCTCAACCCTGACCAGTAGGTTTCCACTCTGGCCCTGGAAAAGAAGAGAAGCATTATGTTTAAGACTCGTCAGCATTCACAAATCGCCCATAGGTAGGTTTCCACTCCTATGTTTGTTTTGATCTCCCAAACTAGATCTGACACCGGATGAACACTTTCGTGTCACCAAGCATCTGGATCAGATTGTAGTTCATGACGCTACTCTCATGCAGTAAAAACGAATTCAGAATAAAAAGTTCTAAGATTCTGATATGTCTATATTTTACATCATTTAGGTTGCATTATAGAGTCCTCATCATGTGTTTTCTCATGTAAATTGAGTCTTTAGGCGTTAAAATAGGACTTAGGGCTTGCATTAGGTCCCAAAGAGTTTTGCATGTTTTGAAATCTTTATCAGGAGCTTTGGAGACGAATTGGAGCCTAAGAAGAGGAACAGAAAAGAAAACGGTGAAGAAAAGGGTCAAAAATGGTGAAAACCGCTTGGAGGAATTTCTCGGCCAAATCTCGTACCGACTGGTCGGAAACCTCGGCCAAAATGTTTACCGGACGCTCATTACAGGCCAAAAACCATACCGATCGGCCAGAATCGAGTATCTAGTGCAAAAATACCACGGGACAAAGTTTTGACCGAGGCAAGAATTTTTACGACCAAAAAGATTACCGCGGTACACAGCCCTCGGCCATTTTTCTTACCGCGGGAAGGTTTTTACGACCAAAAGTTGTCCTTGCCCGCGCAATTCAGAGATCAGCAATCCGGGGAACCTTCCGGTCCGAATCAGTTGGTGGGGTCTTCACCAAAGTTGGAGATAACCAAGCAAAGATTCCATAACAGTTAGAATCATCCAATTCGGACCAGTGGAGAGAAAGATATGGCTTCCGGAGCATTCACCAGCATTGCGCATACCCGAGAACTGAACGGCGAACTTCAAAGATCATGGCGGACGGAGCCCCTCCAGACCGAACCAGCTTACCCGGTCTTCACCAAAGTTCGAGATCCATGGAAGATCTTCTCAGAGCATTTGGAATCGCTCAATTCGGAGCAAAGGTTTGGAAGATAGGGTCTCCGGAGTTCACATCGGTCTTAAAGTCTATTTTCTGGTGATTTCAATGCGGCGGAAAGATGTTAAATCCAGGAAGCCTTCCACTCCCCAAGCTCCGATGGTATCTTCACCAACGTTCTAGCTTATTGAGTCATCTTGACTGTGGAACTGGTCCCAGAGCAATTGGAGTCGTGTGCTGAAAGTTACTGCCTCCGGAAAGTGACATGGTCGATACAAGCCTAAAAGAGTTGCGATACGCGCTAAGTATTCTCACAAGCCTCGGTATCTTTACCTTGGCGTCACTCAAGTCGAGGCTCATATCTTGGAAGTATTCTGGACTAGACCTCGTGCCAAAGCCTTGGCATGGTTAGATCGAGGCATGCATACGTAAGAACTGAAGCTGAAAACGACTAAGTGTTGAAAGTACATCTCGGTGTAATAACCTCGGCGTGCATGTCGGACTGTGTTCTCCCAAGCAGCTCGACATCATGACCCCTCGACATTTTATCCCGAGGTCCCTTGTCACGAACCCAGAATCAAGAACAGAATGGCTCAAGAACATATACGTGAGGATAGATCAAAGACTAGGGTTCATGCATGTTCTTGACGTGTTCTTCACGAGATCTTCATCTGGATCCTGACTCACGTGCACGCCTCGGCATGAAGACCTCGACTTCACCTTCCGACATACCGTGGCACTCACCCATCAACCCAAGAAGGCGGTTCAGTACCCGGTTTGTTCCGGGCTGACCCGCGACACTTTCCCTTTGCTATAAATACATTTTGAGACTAAAAACCTAGTTATCTTATCTCTTATCTGTTTTTAGCTCTAAGAACTTGCCTCTTTTGTGAAACTTGATTAATCTAATCCGATATCTCGTTTTTGCATCGTAATCTTGTTCTTTCTATATTTCTTTTATCATCCAACATCAAACTCCTTATCATGACTAGCTACACGTCTTGCAAAGGACTTAGTGAGCTCGTTATGATCAGTGAGTAGTCGTTTAAGCGGCTTTAGATAGATAGATTAGGGTGCTTTCAAGGTGGATTAATGGGTTTAGGTGTCTAGTCTTGCATGTTTCATTCCTTAACCGACGAGATCTCTAAGCTGGATCCAAGCACATCACTTGAGGTTAAGATCTGAGACATATCTCGCATCAGAAGTGTTTGTAGAAATGTCTGAACCACTCGGTTAAGGGTTTAAGAGTCTTTCATCGCGAGAGTGATAGTTTGTTCTCTTAAACGACGTTTTTGAACCGATTCTTATTGCTGACTGATTCGTGCTTCTCAAAAGGGATTTTGGTATGAAAGAGGATCAGTTTAGACGTTTAATACTTTCATGAGAAGATTAACGTGCCTTGAGTTCAAAGTCAAATGAAATCGCTTGATAAAATGATTCATTAGCCCCTTAGTCTAACTTGGAAGCACCCGAGTCAAATATCCTGACTAAAGCTTCTGCCTTTATCATTCATTACCATCATCTGAATCACCTGTTTGTTATTTGCATCTTGATTAGTTTAAATCTCTGCTTTTATTTAACTTTATTGCTCATTTGCCTGTTAATCATCGTCACCAAACTTTTATCATCTTGTCTTGACTTAAGTGAACAAATGACATAGGCTAGTGTCTCGCTTACAAGCTTGGTTTGACACCCCTTATACTACTTTGACAAGGGGATTGATAACCCTTCTAAGAGCCTGAAAACTCTTAGTTATCAATTGGCGCCGTTGCCAACTTGTAGGAGCATTAGTCTCTTGTTTGTTCTTGAGTTCACGCTTTTCTTTCCTTTGTTTTACTAACTTCTTTCCAAGTTGTTGTTTTGTTTTCAGGTGCATGAATACCAGGTCTCGGAACACAGGATCGCTTTTCCCATACGACGATAACATCGACAGATTAGAAAGGCGAGCTCGCGAGAGAGAACGGCACTTTGACAGACTTGGAATGGCAGAACAACAGAGAATAGAGCAACAGGCTCAGGCAGCCGAGCACCAGGCTCAGGCTAATCAGGCGCAGGCAGGAAGAAATGAACAACAAGCCTATGTTAATCAGCAACAAGCTCAAAGAAATGAACGGCTTACTCAGCAAAACCAACACCAAGCGAATAGAAATGAACAACAAGCCCATCATGTTCATCCGCCACCGCCCCAAGTTCAGAGACAACATCCTCCTATCTGTGTTGGAGAGAATGACCGAGCTAATGCACACCAATACCGAGCTGGGATTCAAGCTCCACCAGTTCAAAACAACAACTTTGAAGTTAAAGCTTCCCTGCTCAATATGGTGCAAAACTCAAAGTTCCACGGTCTGGCTGGAGAAGACCCTCTCGAGCATCTAAATCAATTTGATCGGGTTTGCGACTTAACCAAGATAAATGGCGTCTCCGAAGATAGCTTCAAGCTACGCTTGTTCCTTTTCAGCCTCGGTGATAAAGCACACCAGTGGGAAAAGAATATACCGAGGGGTTCTATACAAACCTGGGAGCAGTGTAAACTGGCGTTCTTATCAAAGTTCTTTTCCACATCACGCACAGCTAAGCTCAGGAATCAGATCTCAAGTTTCACGCAGCACAATAACGAGAGCTTTAGTGAAGCTTGGGAACGGTTTAGAAGCTACACTAACCCATGCCCACACCACGGCTTCTCAGAGGCATCCCTCTTGAGTACTTTATACCGAGGTGCACTCCCCAAGATCAGAAACCAACTCGATACAGCTTCAAATGGGAATTTTCTTGGAAAAGAGATCACTGCGGCAATGGAACTAGTTGAGAACCTAGCCATGTCCAATGACACGTATGGAGAGGACTTTGATAGAGCAAACCATACAGAGGGATCTAGTGATGAACAGCGCATGAAAAAGGATATAAGAGAGCTTCAGAGTAAGCTTGACAAGGTTTTGATGGCGACTCAAAAGCCAATACACTTTGTAGGCGAGTTTGATGAGCAAGGGCCAAGTTTTGACAATGTCAATGAAGATGGTCTAACACAAGAGGAGCTGAATTACATAGGGAATCAGCAGAGGTATCAGCGGTTTAACTACAACAGTAACCCAAACCTCTCATACAGAAACCCGAATGTAGCTAACCCTCAAGACCAAGTGTACCCTGCTCAACAACAACAACAAAGCTATGCTCAAAAGGCTCCTTTTCAGAATACCTTCCAGCCCAAGCAACAGTTCAGTGGGCAACAGCACGGCTACACTCAGCAGAATCAAGCGGCTCAGAGTAACAACTTCAACAACCAACCGCAGCAACACAAGTTTCCACCAGGGTTCCATCCGCAGCCGATGGGTAATCAACAACAGATTCAGGGAACGGGTCAGAATCAAATGGGGAACGACGTCTGTGGGATACTACAGCAACTGTTACAGGGCCAGCAAAGGGTTGAGAGCCAGCACGCGACAATGCAACAAGATATCAGAGAGCTTAAGCAGAATCAAGCTTCTACATCATCAAGAGGCCCAGCTTTACCAGGTAAACCGGAGCCGAACCCTAAAGAGTATGTGAACGCCATCACATTGAGGAGTGGTAAGGAATTACAAACTCCAACGCCTAAGACAAAGTTCATTGAGGCCAATGAGCAATTAGAGGGGGAGGCAGCCTCAGACGATGCGTGTAAAGAAGCGGTCTTAGAGAAGGAACCGATCAAGGACAAAGGAAAAGAGGTGGAAAAGACAACCGAGCTTGAAAAGCCCTATGTTCCACCACCACCTTATCAACCCAAGATACCGTTCCCAGGGCGTTTCAAAAAGAAAATCCTAGACAAGGCAAAGGCGGTCTTTGAGAAACACTTGGAGAACACGCAACTCACCTTACCCATTATAGATGCTTTCTTAGCTATACCCCAGCTTGGGAAGTTTCTAAAGGACGCGATCCTCAACAAGACAAAGGAGCTCCAGGGTATGGTGATACTGAGCCATGAGTGCAGTGCCATAATACAAAGAAGATCTATACCAAGGAAGCTATCTGATCCGGGCAGCTTCACTTTGCCGTGTGCTTTAGGTCACCTGAAGTTCTCAAACTGTTTATGTGACCTTGGAGCTTCTGTGAGCTTAATGCCTTACACGGTGGCCAAGAGATTGGGATAAAAAAGCTACAAGCCAGCCAAGATCTCTCTTGTATTAGCTGATAGATCGGTTAGAACCCGGTGGGGTTGCTTGAGGATCTACCTTTGAGGATCGGTGAGATAGAAATCCCCACGGACTTCATAGTTCTTGAGATGGACGAGGAACCATTATACCCTATCATCTTGGGCCGACCGTTCTTAGCAACCGCAGGAGCCATAATAGATGTGAGATGAGGAATGATTGAACTACACATCGGTTCCGAGACTATGAAGTTCAACGTGAAGGAAATGATGAAGAAACCGACCATTGGAGGTCAGGTTTTCTATGTGGAGGTAATGGAGGAGCTGGCTGATGAGCTCCTTGAAGAGTTGAACGCAGAGGATCCCTTACAAGTGGTCTTAACGCGGGAACAAAGCGAGCACGGGTACTTGAACGAGGAAAGCGAGGTGTACAAGCGTCTTTTGGACCAACCGAGGGAACTTGGAGCTGAGGCGAGGTTTTTGGAGCTCCACACGAGCAGCCTCGACATTCTAGAAAGCGAGGAGTCAAAGGGAAAAGAAGAGACACCTCGGGATATCATGGCCGTGATAACTCATACCGAGGCCGATGGTAAACCGCGCGAGAATGAAGCAAAGGCCGAGGAAGCTGTTCCGGGCCAATGCAGCTTTGATGCCGATTGGAATGAGGCAGACGCACCCCCTGTTGAGCTCAAGCCTCTACCAACAGGGCTCAGGTATGCATTCTTAGGTCTAAACTCTACTTTTCCTGTGATCATAAACGATAACTTGCTTGAGCATGAGGAACATGCATTACTTAGTGAAATAAGGAAATTCAGGAGAGCCATAGGGTATTCCTTGGCTGACATTAGAGGAATCTCTCCTGATATATGCACCCACAGGATCCACCTAGAGGACCAAGCCATGTCCTCTATTGAGCACCAACGTCGACTTAACCCGAACCTCAAAGAGGTGGTTAAGAAGGAGATACTAAAGCTCCTTGAGGCAGGGATAATATATCCAATCTCTGACTCTCGGTGGGTATCTCCTGTACACGTTGTGCCCAAGAAAGGTGGGATCACGGTGGTGAAAAACGATAAGGATGAACTCATAGCCCAAAGAACTATAACCGGCCATCGCATGTGCATTGACTATAGGAAATTGAATTCTACATCAAGAAAAGATCATTTTCCTTTACCATTCATTGATCAAATTCTTGAATGGTTAGCTAATCATACTTATTTTTGTTTTCTCGATGGATACTCGGGGTTCTTTCAAATACCTATAGACCCCCGAGATCAAGAGAAAACGACATTCACCTGCTCTTATGGCACTTATGCTTATAGAAGAATGTCATTCGGTTTGTGTAATGCACCAGCCACTTTTCAAAGATGTATGATGCACATTTTCTCTGATCTAATTGAAGAGAAAGTTGAGGTGTTTATGGATGACTTCTCCGTATACGGCTCCTCTTTCTCCGAATGTCTTGTTAATCTTTCTCAGGTTCTCAAGCGGTGTGAGGAGCATAGGCTTGTCTTAAACTGGGAAAAGTGTCATTTCATGGTCCAAGAAGGCATTGTCTTGGGACACAAGGTATCAGAGAAAGGCATCGAGGTGGATAAGGCCAAGATCGAGGTGATGGTGAACTTACAAGCCCCGAATTCTGTGAAAGGAATAAGAAGCTTCCTTGGCCATGCTGGGTTCTATAGATGGTTCATCAAGGATTTCTCCAAGATAGCCAGGCCTTTGACCAGGTTATTGTGCAAAGAAGTGGATTTCAACTTTGATGAAGAATGTGAGGAAGCGTTCAAGAGAATCAAGGAGGCTCTGATCAGTGCACCGACTGTACAAGCCCCTGATTGGTCTTTACCATTTGAAGTGATGACCGATGCATCTGATTATGCTGTAGGAGCTGTCTTGGGACAGAAGAAAGATAAGAAGCTCCATGTGATCTACTATGCCAGCCGCACTTTGGACTCGGCTCAAGAAAAGTATGCCACCACCAAGAAGGAAATGCTTGCCATTGTGTTTGCATTTGACAAATTCAGGAGTTATCTAGTGGGATCAAAGGTCACGGTTTACACAGATCACGTGGCCTTGAGGTACCTGATGTCTAAGAAGGACGCTAAGCCGAGGCTTTTGAGATGGGTCTTATTGCTCCAAGAATTTGACATGGAGATACTTGATAAGAAGGGCATTGAAAACGGAGCCGCAGATCACCTCTCAAGGCTGAGGATTGAAGAACAGGTCCCTATAGATGATGCTTTATCCGAGGAACATCTCATGTTAGTCCGGTCTTACTAAGAGGTGGAGGAAGCCAATACGATCAAGGAAAGAAGCCTTCCATGGTTCGCGGATCTTGTGAACTACTTGTCTAGCGGATTAGAGCCACCAGACCCTTATACTTATCAGAGGAAGAAGTTCTTTAGAGATGTGATGAGGTATCATTGGGATAAGCCGTATCTTTACGTGCTTAACAAGGACCATCTCTATAGGCGATGCTTGGCCGAAGAAGAGATCCATCCAGTGCTACAAGAATGCCACGGCTCATCGTATGGTGGTCATTTAGGTGCGTTCAAGACAGTTGCCAAGGTTCTACAGAGCGGTTTCTGGTGGCCGACCATGTTCAAAGACGCCCAGGAAGTGGTCTCGAGGTGTGAAGCTTGTCAAAGGCACGGAAACATATCCAAAAGGAATGAAATGCCCCAAAACCCAATCTTTGAAGTAGAAGTCTTCGACTGTTGGGGCATTGACTTCATGGGTCCCTTTGTAAGCTCATATGGGAATCAATATATCCTTGTAGCAGTGGATTATGTGAGTAAATGGGTTGAAGCGGTTGCATCTCCGACCAACGATTCAAAAGTGGTGGTAAAACTCTTCAAGAGTATCATCTTCCCACGGTTTGGAGTACCAAGAGTAGTCATCAGTGATGGGGGAAGCCATTTCATCAACAAGACTCTTGAGACTCTTTTGAAGAAGCACGGAGTAAAGCACAAGGTGGCCACCCCTTATCATCCGCAAACCAGCGGCCAAGTGGAGGTTTCCAACCGTCAGATAAAGGCCAATTTGGAAAGGACCGTGAACTCATCCAGGAAGGATTGGAGCAAGAAACTTGACGATGCTCTGTGGGCTTACAGAACCGCCTACAAAACCCCCATTGGAACCTTACCGTTTAACTTGCTCTATGGGAAGAGCTGTCATCTACCGGTTGAGTTGGAATACAAAGCCTTGTGGGCAGTGAAACTTCTGAACTTTGACATCAAGACCACACAAGAGAAGAGGGTTTTACAGCTTCATGAGCTTGAGGAGATCCAGTTAGATGCTTTCGAGAGCTCTAAAATCTACAAAGAAAGAACCAAGGCGCTCCATGACAAGAAGATACACAAGAGAGAGTTCAAAGAAGGGGACCAAGTTCTGTTGTTTAACTCAAGACTCAAGCTGTTCCCTGGGAAGCTGAGGTCTAGGTGGTCCGGTCCGTTCACGATTCTTGAAGTAAGATCCTATAGAGCCGTGGTTTTGAAAGGAAAAGATGGACAAGGCTTTGTGGTAAACGGCCAGAGGGTAAAGCATTACTTGGCATC